ATGTCTCTGCTTTTAAGGCTTACTAAGTAATAAATAGGAATTACTAAACAATAAGTCTAATTGTGAAAACTTAGGACATATCAGCAAATATGCATAGAAATGTATTATTAATTTTAAAAACTTATTTTTTTTCCAAATTCAAGAAATGCAAGGCAGTTCACTTGCCCACAAATTATTCTCACATTCTTGACACAAGCAAACCTGCCAAAAACTTTAGCCTCCAGTGCCTCCCATTAACACCTCTGTCTACAGAAATTATTTCTAGACAAAAAAGGCATTTCACTTGTCAGACACAAACCATGTTCATTTGGAACATCGTACTATGTTTAGCTATTTAATTAACGTATTTTTTTCTTCGATAGCTTGGAAGATCTAAGCTTGAAGCAACCTTGTCAGATGTCAGTTAATTAGAGCAGCCAGTTCTGCATTTCAAAAATCCTACCTATTTCTTTAGTTCTAGCAAACTTAAGAGAGAGATAGGCAACTTCAGACCCCAGGATGCAAGAAGTTCAGAAAACAATCACCTTGAAGAGGACAACCCACAATGAGATCCTAAAACAGGCTGAATGTTTTTAAGATAAAATAGTACTCCCCCCCACACACACACACACACCATTCAAAATCAGGACATTGTTGTCCTACCTACTGAGGCTCTTATCCATCGAAAAATATGAAAAGCCCCATTTCTGCCCACCAGAAAGTTGCCTGGCCCTATATTTGCCACAGGAAACCAAGTCACACTCTCCTCTTCTAAGCCAAGAAGCTCAGTCCCACAAAAACATTATACTAAATCCAAAGAAGTCACTTTAAGATGGGCGACTGCTTGGACTTAGCATCTCTCACTGACTAAAAACTGCAACAGGCGCCATCAGGTTTTTCTACTAGGTCCTTTGGAAAGCCCTAGGCCAGTGGTTCTCAACCTGTGGGTCGTGACCCCATTTGGGGTCGATCGACCATTTCACGGGGGTCACCAAGCAAGGCTGTCCGCCATTTTTTTTGTCCGCCATTTTTTTCCCCTTTTCCGGCAGGTGCCTTACCTCCCTTGGGCTGGGCCAGCTGGTGGTCGGCCTGCTCCGTCTCTGCCGCTTGCCAGCTACGCCTCGGCCGGCGCAGGGGGCGGAACCACGCATGCGCAGCGCTCCCGGGCAGGGAAAGTCCTCGACTTACGACCGGTTGGGTAGTCCTCGACTTATGACCAGTTTAGTCCTCGACTTACGACCGGTTGGGGTCGCGGCATTAAAAAGGTTGAGAACCACTGCCCTAGGCAGACAGGCTTGCTACAGCCCTTGACTGCTCTAGAATCCGGCACTGCAAGGAAAACCGACTCTGCTCAAGGAGACCACATCGAGCAATCGGTACTCTTCTGCTGCCAAGAGTTGTGGTTGCAAATTCCGTAACGTTGGTTAAGCACTTTGGGAAACTCTTCCTTTTATTGGCCTTGAATACTATTTAACTTCAGCAATGAGGCCCAACACATATCTGCCAGTAAATATCTTCACCTTCTTGAAAAGTTTCTGATGTGATGTGATGTCCCTAATCTTTTGGCACCAGGGACCAGTTCCGTGGAGAGGTTTTTTCGTGGACCGGGGGGGTGTGGTTTTGTGTGCTGCCTGCATCCCGCAGATGGGGCTTTGCTTATTTGTGCAGACCAGTTTCTGGCATGCTACCGCCAAGTGCCGGTCCACAGACGGGGGTTAGGGACTCCTTATGTAATATAATATTCTATTCTATTCTCTCTTCTTTATTCCTCTAGTCTCTCTTCTTCATTCCTCTATTCTACTCTACTTTACAGTTTAGTATCAAAAAACTGGTGGTATACATAGAGATTAAGAATTGGACTTTTATGAAGAGAATTCAAAATTTTACTGGCTGAACACTTTTTTCTATGTTCAAGATGAAAACAAATTTTTCTTGCTTTATGAAGATACTGGTGAATTTCATTACATTCTCATAAACAGGCTGAAATTCACAGCTCATCTATAAAATGTCAAAGTCATTTGAAAAAGCTTCTTACACTGAGCTTATAGAAAGACAAACTTCTGGCTAAAGGTTTCACAGAGGCTAAAGGACATCCTAAACAATTTCAAATTCCAGTTCTGTGCATTTGTCAAGAAATAAGGCATTAAGAAGGTAACATTCACATCCCAGAAATCAAAGCTAAGAAGTCATGCCTGGACTCTAGTCTTTAAGGGCAGCACCAGAATCAAAGTGAACTAGTTGCTACAACCAATATTAGAGCAATACAGATATAGCTGTTGGCCACTGGGATGCACTGACCCTCTATTCCAGTGGTTCTCAACCTGTGGGTCGGGACCCCATTTGGGGTCGATCGACCATTTCATGGGGGTCACCAAGCAAGGCTGTCCACCATTTTTTTTGTCCGCCATTTTTTTCCCCTTTTCCGGCGGGTGCCTTACCTCCCTTGGGCTGGGCCAGCTGGTGGTCAGCCTGCTCCGTCTCTGCCGCTTGCCAGCTACGCCTCGGCCAGCGCAGGGGGCGGAACCACACATGCGCGGCGCTCCCGGGCAGGGAAAGTCCTCGACTTACGACCGGTTGGGTAGTCCTCGACTTACGACCGGTTTAGTCCTCGACTTACGACCAGTTTAGTCCTCAACTTACGACCGGCTTAGTCCTCGACTTATGACCGGTTGGGGTCGCGGCATTAAAAAGGTTGAGAACCACTGCTCTATTCATCCACTGAAAATCCTGACACACAGGAGCACCCAAGTCAATGCTGTAAACATCTTGTTACCTTAACTCCCTCGCCCCATGACAGGCAAGCAAACTTGTAAAACTTGAAAACTAAGCAATACCATCCTGCTCTGGGTCACCCCAACCAGTCACCTGCCTAGCAAAAGCACCACCTATCCTGCCTCACAGCGAGTCCCAAGAATCGGAGCCAAGCTTCGGCACTTTGACAAGGATGGATGTGGAAACTCAAGCACATGCGTTGTGAAGCCGAAGTACAAATCACACCTCTCTTCTCTGCCAGCTTCCCTGGCAAGAAGGGAGCAGAAACCTGAAGAGAACCAGGATATCCTCAGCCATTTTGAGTACTTCCAATAGCAAAGCAATACTCCAGCCATTGGGGGCAAAATGCCATCTTGGCATTTAGAACAGATTTGTCCACCGAGCTGACAAGAGGAAAACAATCAGGGTTTTTCCACATGAGACACTTTTCTAATCCCAATATGAGTTACGTGCTTACCCACAGATTTAAACCAATTAAAAAGGTATCCAATTGCGATTTAAATTACTCTGGCTGCAGCATCGTTAGCTCAGAGCAGGATTTGAAACCAGCAACTCATTGAGTTACAAATGAAATCTCTACTACAGGTTTGCATGCAACATGGCAGGAGCAGTGTTAAAAAGGCTTCTAATCTAGACTTCACTTCCAGAGATCTGTGTCAGAAAATGCTACCTGGCGTGCTTTTTCAGCAGCCTTCAGCATAGCTATGGGTCAAGAATTCTGAAACTTACAGTCCCAAAATATCAACAGTCAACAAAAGCTGCACTATACAAATAATTTTTTCCCCTAAAATTCTGTATTTTGTATTATCCATCAATTCTGCATAATTTCCAAGCAAAGATATTTAAATTCAGTATAGAGGTAGTCTTACAATTACAACTGAGACCAGAATCCCCATTGCTAAGCAAGGCTATGAGTCAAGCCCAATTTTACTTTTTATTGCCCCTGTTGTTAAGCAAACCACTTCAGAAATTAAGTGAATCACTCAGTTGTTAAGAGAATCTGGCTTCCCCCATTGATTAAACAAGAACAAAAACATCCACAAATTATGCATCCACTCTTTTCAACTGCATCAGACTGTATTCTCAATCTGGTTAAGTCTACCCAACTGGTGTGTTTCGAAAGGGAAATATCCAATTGAACATCTTGTTTCTTCAGAACAGAGGTGGCGAACTATGGCCCCTTTATGACTTGTGGACTTCAACTCCCAGAATTCCTGAGCCACCACGGGTGGTTCATAAAGTCATAAAGGGGCCATAGTTCCCCACCCCTGCTTTAGAAGAACGAAACAGAGTACCCCCTCAGCCAAAAAAAATAAATAAATATTTTTCTTCTACCTGAAGGATATTCTGAAGCAACCAAACAACTAATGGCCAACCTGGAGCACAGTCTACCGTCATGTGAGCATGAAGACTCAAAGATCACATTACCAAACAAACATGCCTGCTGCTTCCATGCTACATACAGCAAGATCAGCCTCTTATCAAACTACAGCTATTTCTCTCCCCCTCAAAAAAAAAAAACCCTCCCTCTTTGGTAAAAGAAGACTGAAACTCATCCTAAAGAGCCACAGAAGCTGTGCTGTTCCACCAAACTTTAATAAGCCCTCTTTTCAAGGTACGGAAGGTTCAGCCCTACAAGGTAGACCAGCTCAAGAAAGCAGCTCCCCAAGAAGTCTCTAGCTGTATGTTAGGCTAGGACTAGGTTAACAAACTACTGCAAGTCTGTATGTATGCATTTTACTTTTCCTCTCTCCCTCTGAATCTGGGAGAAGCCAGACTGAGCTTTCTAATAAGATGGCCTTTCCCAGGTCTTAAGCAATGTGTTTGCCCTCGTTTCCATAGCAGCATCTGAAAAGTCCCTTCAAGGCCATCTCCTGGGCTCTCTCCACCACCCAGTTTTCTCCACCAAAACACTCAGGATAAACTGCTTTTCGTTCTGACTTAACCATGTTTCATTCGCCCTAGCCTATTATGCTGGTAAGAAACATCTGGTTTTTCAGAGCATTTGAGGTCACAAGAGGAAGGAACAACCCTGAGTCATCCCTGCAAGAAGTGCACATCTGCAAGGAGTTCCCAGGCCTGGAAAGGAGAATCCATGAGCCCCACCTCAGTCACTAACATACCGAGAACCAGTTTGATGTTTTACTGTTTGTTCTCACTGGCCATAAAAAACATGAGCTATGAAATGGTTCCTAAGAGAGGCATGTCTTCTTTTAAATATTTTTTTTAAATAGAGGGAGAACCATTACCATGAAGAGCTATGGCTTCCCGGAAGGGCTGCAAGTCCGTCTCGACCGAAGAACTAGTTTCCGTGGATGTCGCCCGGTTAGGGGATACTACAGTCAGTCTTGGGGGAGGTCTAGAGTTTCGTGGAGGAGGCGCTTTCCCACACAGGAAACTGATTAAGTCTTCTCTGCGAATAGTTCTTCTGCGCTTTTTAACCCAAGCCAAGACGTCCTTATTACGGCGCTGATAGCCAATATGGATTCCTACATCAAAGCTCCGTTGATGAGCATCCACACTTTCTGGAAGAAAAGAAATATGTGTTAGGAGTTGGCCCAACCACAGACAGCAGCAAGAAGTTCAGATACAACCAGCTTCTAGAAGCAAAGGCAACTGGCACTGCTGAGCTTCCCCTTGTGGACAGGGTGAATTAATGGAAGATAAACCCAATATTAAAAACTGATTTATGAATTGCAATTATTTCTACCCTGTCTTCACCACTGGGGGGGGGGGGGAGCACACAAATTCTACCCAGCCAGCTAATTAGTAACTTCAACAATCATAAATAAAAACACAATAAATGCATTTGCCAGCCCTATCTAAACTTTAGACTCAATTTGGAGCCATCTGCTAATATCAGATACCAGCTGTTATGTCTACAGGTGGTCCTCGATTTATGACAATTGAGCCCAATATTTCTGTTGTTAAGGGAGACATTTGTTAAGTGAGTTTTGCCCCATGTGTGTGTGTATATGTATGTGCAAAATGGTGTGGATTTTTTGAGAGCTGAATGCAACAAAATTTTATTTTAATGTATGCTGATTAGTGTACATTTCAAGTGACAATAAAGTTTTTATTCTATTCTTCTATTCTATCCCACTTTTGCAACATGTTTTAAGTCTTAATGTTGACCACGTTGAAATTTCTGGGAAAGCAGAACGTAACTGTCTCTCTCTCAGCCCAACTCACCTCAGGAGGAGGAGGAGGGAGTACTGTGTGGGACGGAGCATTGTGTGTATTTGCCACCTTGAGTTATTTATTTAAAAATAACAAAGGTGGGATATAAATAAATAAATGGGCGGGATGGTGGCTCAGTGGTTACAGACGCTGGGCTTGTCAACTGGAAAGCCGCCCCCACCAGGTTCAAGACCCGAGCGCCACACGAAGGGGTGAGCTCCCGTCCTCGCCTCAGCTCCTGCCCAACCAGCAGTTCGAAAGCATGCAAATGCAAGTAGATAAATAGGTACCACTGTGACATCATGCTGGCCACTTGACCACAGAAATTTCTTGGACAGCACTGGCTCAATGGCCTTGAAACGGAGATGAACACCCAAGTTGGAAACGACTAGCGGAGTAAAAATCCGTAGGGGGGCTCCTATAAATGAAGAAATAAAGCAACCTCCCCCAGCTTCAATCTGCCTAGATTGGACAATTCTCACTACTTCCATCCACCAATGGGACGGCCAAGGACCCCAACCTTCTCTTGAAGAGATCTGCTCAAGCTGCCACATGACAATGGCAGCATCAGATTTAAAAGAACTAGATTGGAAGATCGGCTTTATTCTCTTTATTAGATTTTTTTTTTGGGTCCCACCTTATTTTTACAATAACTCAAACATGCCAATTAATCCTTTCCCTCTATTTTCCCCACAACAACCTCCCTTGTGAGGTGGGGTTGAGCTGACAGAGAGACTGAACCAAAGTCACCCAGCCATGTTTTTCATGCCTAAAGGAGGACTAAAATGCAGTCTCCTGGTTTCCAGCTGCTGCCTTAACCACCAGACCAAAATTAGCATTATATAGAAAGAGGTTCTAATTTGACAACCAAAGGAAGAAGGTTAGGAAGGAAAAGAGAACATAAAAAGAGCATTTGACTGACAGGCAGATAATGTTACTGATGGTCAAGAAATGCAAACTAAGAGGCTGGACCCTTGGAAAGAAATAGGATAAGCTCAACCTCAGAGATATTAAGCGTGGGATAATACTGATGCTCCAAAGCAGAAGTACTAGAAAAATACTTAAGAGGCTGGAGGGGTAAAACAGTTAGACTAAATCAGAGAATATTTAGATGATAGGTAATACTGACAGGCATAGGAATTGATGAAACTGTTGAATTGCCAAGTTACCCAGAATGGAGCTGCAAAGCCTTGCTAAGTAGGGAGGGAAAGTAGAGAATAGAGCTCTTTGACAAGAAATTATGAAAGGGAAAACAAGTCAGCAGGATTAAGAGTTATGACATTTGGGGAGTGCAATCAAATGGATTTAAAATGGTAGAAAGGAAAACCGAATAAAGACTTTAGATCCGGCCGTTAACTCAAGGGCAGTTTCAGTGAAGGTGACCAAAAATAGATAGACTGCAATGAATTTAGAAGACAGTAGAATTGTTCCTCTTCTGGAGGAAAAGTAGGATAAATAAATTAATCCACTTTTAGGTGAGGCGGCCATTTCTCAAGAGTACGGGAACTTTAATTCCAGAGTATTTGGCTACATCAGGCTGGTGACGATAACCACCTCATTTCTATTGCTGAATTAGACTATCAAGTCCAACAAAGGCCCAAATCTCCCTAAAGTAATATTTCTATCCTGCTTTATTCATCAGAAACAATCTATTCCACTGCCGATGCACAGCTATTAATACTTACACATCATATATTTGTACTGGACATCAGTATTTTTTCAACAAAAGATTGCACAAAGCAATTTTCTGCAGAACCTTGGAAGTATAATCCACATGTTCAAACTGTACTTTCTATAACTATACTCACCAACACTTTGTGCTTAAGAGTGTCCTCTACACTGCAGACTCAGCTGATGGGAGAGTGAGCTAGCTTCCAAAATAGATTCTTGAGAATATGATACCACATTCCACAACATTAAGCGCAAGTAAAACTTACACTATTACGACAGTCAAATTGTCACATGTTGCTTTGAACTGAAAACAAGTCTTTGACTTTGTTTTCAACAGACATTACTGAGACATTATGTAAATGAAGACTCAATCATCCAGGCCAAAAGTATCTGAAAGGTTAAGTCATGGCAATTGGACCAAACCTTCAAACTTTGGTACGGTTGCCATGATTTAATCATTTTAGATACTGAGATAATACCTGACCACCTATGCACAAATTATGTGACAACTCCTTCAGCCAATGTTATGCTTATAAATAGAACATCTGTAATAAATGGTCAACTTGCGTAATTTTGCAACAAATAGAAATTGGGCACAATTAAAAATGTTGCCAATCAGTTTTGGATCCTTAGTGTGCCAAGCCCTACAATGCATTCCAAGTTCAAACATTATAACAACCATTACTTTGTCAAAGTGAGTTACAACATTATTAACTAATATAGTTGGTTGTACATGTTCCTATTGTGATGAGTGTAATAGTCATGTCCTTAGTATGGTCCACAGTGGAACATTTCTCCATAGGTGTTACTCAACTAGCTTCCCCTAGGCCTCAGTGAATCATTCTGATGCTCATGGGAGCTAAGTCAGACCAAGAAAGCAATCTGTTTAATTTAAAAAGCTCCAGGCCAAAACTTCAGTTCCTGAATACTTTTATCCAAGGACAGGATTATTAAGAATTCATAAAGGTTGACAATTCTCATATGACTCTCATTATGTTACTATATAATGTGTATTGTGTATCCATAGTTAGCAGAATCATCTGGTATAAAACACAAGCCTGCCATGAAACAAACCTACTGGCAGTTCATTTGATATTGTTCTGACTCTTAATTCATCTTTACAATGGTGATTTTTCTATACTCAAGGACATCAATTCTGACAGGGTTAAAGCAGACTTTTTGCCACAAATGCTGTTTGAAGTTCCCCTGGAACATAAACCATCTTAATGAGTCAACAGTAAATCCAGATCCAACAGTACTGTGACAAAACCACTAAAGACAGATCCACTAAAGACAGATCCACCTTGCAAGCAGATCCACCTCACAGCTCATCCAACAAAAATTAAGAACAGTATCTCAAACTTTAACACATATGACTTTGGCTGCTCAGTTTTAGGCAGGTTATAGGAAGGAGCCAATAATGTAGTTTGAATTAAACAAGGATTAGGGAAACCCAAGTTCTGCTATCCAAGCTTTTGGGAAGACTTTCGACCAGCCATCCTTTCAGCTAAACTAGCCATTATTAGGGGATAAAACTGGAGGAGGGAGCACTATATGGTTGCATCTATCTTTCCCAGATACAAGGTGGGATTGAAACTTAAAAGGGTGCCATAATAATTTCATCACTGCAAACATAATCAATATTTGATCATCCATATCAGTTCACAGAAACAGGGGATCTACCAGTATCAGGACATTCACAATATGGCATGTTGGATTCTCAAAATTAAGTTAAAATTATATATACATACATATTCAAGTATACAGAAACCAAAAACAAGATAGACATTTAGAAAAGAACGCATTTGCTTTGATGCGTCAATCTCATCCATGTAAGCTCTTTGGAACATTTCCATTGCTCCATACATTTTTCTCAAAATATATGTAAAGTTCAACTCTTTTTAAAGGTGGGAGAGCTTGAAGCTTTTAAAGCCTTCCACTGAGATGATTGCTATTGTAGTTCATCGTCTGTACTTTCACACAAGCTTTTTTTTACACCTAAAAAAGTCACACAACCTTAAGCAAAGAAGCCTATTCCTTCTTTGCTAAGCATAGTGCTGCCACATAAACACCTGAACAACACGGTCAAGTAAGACTAAAAGTCCACTGCAAGGGCAATATTCTGGTCCCACAAGGGCCAGTTGGATGACAACAGGGAGCATGTGCAATCTCTCATACCCATTGTCGCAGCAGCTAGGTTCACATGTCTTATTACCGTATTTTTCGCTCTATAAGACGCACCTGACCAGAAGACGCACATACCGGTAGTTAATATTAGCACAAGCTAACGGCGGCTCCTAGGCAAGCCTACCAAACCTTACGCTCCCTAAAGCTCAGAGGAGAAAGGGTGCAGCCCAAGCCGAGCTTTTGATCAGTTGGCGCAGGCACGTGTGGACGCAAGTCCACGCATTCGAGGCTTCCCTCTTTCCACTCTAAAGCCGGTGCCTCACCTTTTGGACCCCGGGGAGAAACGGCGCTGCTTTGGCCATCTGAGCCCCGGCTCCACATCACCCCGCTGCTCCTCAGCCGCTGCTCAAGCGCTCCCCGAAAAGCCCCCGGCGAAGGAAGCACCGCCGCTGCCGCCCGACCCCGCCCGGCCATTCTTTGGATGGGGGGGAGGCCTGCCCGCTTGGCAAGAGCAGAGGAAACGGGGAGGGGCGCCTTGGGCTGCTTG